AGAGAAACAGTAATTCACAGAGAGATATGGACAGAAACTCATACACTGAGACCCGCTACCAGAGAGGGAAGCAATCTGGTCAAAGAAATCCACTCCGCATCAAGTTCTCCAGTGTCGTCCGCAGGCATGAGAACAACAAGCCCACAAAAATATAAGAACATAAAGGTGAACTACTCAGCCCTGGGATGCCTCACTCGCCTTCTTTTGTAAATAAGCATTTGAATGTGTTTTGTTCTTGGACCCGGGAGGCAAGTACAAAGGGAGCCCTTTCTCATGCAGGAAGGTCCCTCTGCAGGGTCTCCCCTGCACCCCCCTCATCCTGCCATTTGCCCACCAGCTGAGGTGGCCTTCCATCCTGACCTAAGTGGGGATTTCTCCTGTTTCAAGAATCCTAAGAACTGCCTTGACTTTTCCAAGTTAAACTGCAGGCTGAGATGAAATTAGCCTTCTTTTTCTTAAATGGGGTTCCTTGATGGAGCAAGGGAGAATGTAGGGAGAGGGGATGACCCAGAGCAAGCTGGAGGCAGGTGCCAGGGATGAGGTGTCACCAAGCACCTCGACCCACACCAGCTTCTCAGGGTGAGAAGTTTGTTCTTGTCCAAGTTTGACCCGGCGTAAGAAAAAGTCTGAGAACTGGCCTCTCCCTCCTCCCTGCTGGTGGGTCCCCCAATCAGTTGTTGTTAGAGGGGCCTCCTGGGGGCTCCTTGTCACTCACAGTTCCTCTGTCCCATCCACTTCCCACGTGGAGGCCAGGAGGGGCCTGTTCAGTGTAGCTGCTGCTCTCCCCAGGAGAGAACCCTGATCCTCCAACACTTTTCTTCTCCCTCCTCTGGCCATTCTGGGCTTCAGGCATGAAAGCCCCCTCTCTCTGGTCTGGAAACGGGTAAATGATGCGTAATTTATGAGCACATCAGCCCGAAGTGCATAAGTCATGTGTGCACAAAAGGGCCGGGTAAATATTTAAAGATTAGAGCCAGCTGGGGAGAAACACAAAGGGCTGGGACAATGGGGGTCTCTCTGAATTCACTCTCCCTGAGCTGGGCCAGCCCAGTTCAGTGTTGATGCACTCACCGGAGTCCCAGCCTTTGTCCCCTGGAGGGCCCTTGGCGGCCGGGCTATTCGGAGTCCCAACACAGCTAAAGAGAGTTAAACAATCACAGCCTCTCCAACCCCATCTGGAGACAATCGGCTGAGTCATTTCAGAGCTTTTGCTGTGTCCCAATAGTTAATTACATGAAGCAATCACTTCATTCCACTTTGAAATGCATCTGCAGAGACGGCGGTGCATTTCTCTCCGCTCCCCTCCCCTTCACCCTCTGTGGCCTCTGCGGCACTCACCAGTTAGCATGGCTTTCAATGTCTGGGTGCTGGAGGAAGGGAAGGGGCTCTCACCCAGGGTGAGGAGGCTAGCGACACAGGGCCATCACCTGGGAGGGCCGGTAGAATATCTGGTCTGTCTCTTGGCCTGGGACCTGCAAACCCCCTCCCTCCCTTGTTTCCAAAACCTCAGTTGCTCTGTAATGTTCTTTCCTTTTTTTTTTTTTTAAGATTTTATTTATTCACTCGAGAAACAGAGATACAGAGAGAGAGAGAGAACATGAGCAGGGGGAGAGGCAGAGGGAGAGGGAGAAGCAGCCTCCCCGCCGAGCCAGGAGCCCGATGTGGGGCTCAATCCCAGGACCCCGGGATTATGACCTGAGCGAAGGCAGACGCTCAACCATCTGAGCCACCCAGGCGCCCCTGTAATGTTCTTAAACCAAACGGGGGAAGGGGGAAGGGAGAACAAAGTCACAGCTCATTTTTGCCTTAAATTCTCAAGCCTGAGGAAGCTGAGGGCTCTGAGTATTCCTGGAAGCCCCCAGAGGCCTCCAGAACTATAGAAGGAATTTTTTCCTTGAATGAGCAAAGGGCAGCCCGGGTCTCCCCAGCGCTCTGCCTGAACTTGTGCTCCTTTCCAGGCCCCCTAGGAATCCCAGATGCTAAAGATGGAAAGGGAGTCGGTGGCCTACATCCCAGTTTGCATAAGCCTGGCTTCTAAGTTGGTCTATGTCCTTCCCTGCAGCCTGAGAGCACTTCGCCCTGCTTGCTCTCAGATAAGGGGGTGGGAGTGTGCCGCCCCCCCCACCTCGGAAATCATCTCCCTTACCTCTACGCACCCCTCCGGAGCCCCGCCTGCCTGTGAGTGTGGGTAGGATGCTCAGGCTCAGGACTCGAAAAGAGCGGGGGAGGGAAGAGAGGCATTGGGTCTTAGTGGGGAGGTGGCTGCTCAGGAGCCCGAATTGCTGGTAAAGTGGGGATTTCTCCCGGCACGGGAAAGAGGGAGTGGGGGGATGGAATCCGCACCGGGATCTCTTTCCTCCCTGAGTCTGCGTGACCCTCAGCCGGCTTAAGGGCTGTTCGTGGCGGGCGAGCCAGGCTGGGAGTGGGAAACCCGGAAAGCAGGGAGGAAACCACACTAGGTGTGTGTGTGGCGGGGGGAGCCCCAGCCCGGGAACTTGTTCCGGGATGGGGGAAAAACGGGGACGCAGGGGGCGGTGCCGGGGTAGGGGTAGGGGTAGGGGGCAGCGGAGGCGGAGGCCCATTAAGTGGGCGGGGGCCGAATTTGACGGCTGCGAGTCCAGCCCAGGCCTCCCCGACAGCCCCGCCGCCCGCAGCCAAAGCAGAACATTGCGAATTAGCTCATTTTGCGGTCAATTTTCCACTGCTTAGGAAAACACTAAGCCACCCACGTGAGCGGCCCCACCCAGCGCGGCCGGGAGCCCTCGGCTCGGGCTCGAGAGGAGTGATGGCCGGAGGAGCTGCGGCTGCCAGGGTGCGGGCAGGGGCGGTCCGCGGGCCCCTTTATGGCGGCCCTAACTCTGGAGAGGGGGCGGGCCGCGAGGGCCTCGCCGAGGGCCGTTGGTTTGCTAATGCGCCGGAGTTGAAAGGCGCGGGCGGCGGTTTATGGGGAGGGATCATAATTAGAGGACAAATTGCCCCGCAGCCTGCGCGGCTCAGGAGCGGGGGCGGGGGTGAGGGGGACCGGCAGAGCGAGGCGCGCGCCCAGCTTCCGTGCAGATGTGCAGCAGCTGGAAGCCCGCGCGCGGCGGGGCGCCCGGAGTTTGGCCCCGAGGGGGCGGGCGGGGGCGGGCTTTGTGGGGCCGGCACAATGCCCTTAACACTCGGCTGCCCCCTTTGTGCCCGGCCGCGCCGCCCGCCTGCCCCGCGGCGCCTTTGTACCGAGCCGCCACCGTCCCAAGCCGGAGGAACGCACGGAGGCCAATGGGGCCCGGTCAGCCCCGGCGCTTCAAAGCTGCCCGGCGCGTGCCAACGCCTGCCGTCCGGCCTCGGCCCCGCCGCCCAACCCGGGCCCGGCCCGGCCCAGATCCGGCCGCTGGGTCCCGAGGCCGTGGCGGAAGAGCACCTCGAAGCCGCGGACCACGCAACCTAGGCCTGAAAGGAGGGCGGGGCGCGATTCTCCACGCTGCTTGGCTCTTGAGAACGCCTCTGCCCCGGCAGGGGCCTTCAAAACTCCGGGAGGGGACAGGGGGGCGGGTGTCAGGGGAGAAGACGCCCCGGCTCCAGGGAGCCGAGGGGGCCCACCCAGGCCCCAGCAGTGTCCCTTCCCCCTCACGCTGAGTCCCCTGCAAAGGCCAATTTGTGTATTCCTCTGCCGCAGGGCGTATCTGCAGAACTTTTGCGTCCATGCTGCTTCATCACCCTCGAGAGCAGCCGTGGGGGCCCGCATTGTTCGGAACCCCATTTTACAAACTCTGAAACCGAGGCCCTGCGAGCCCAGTACAGGGAGATAACTCGGTATGAACTTCAGGGGCTCCTCTGGACGTCAGCCTGTCAGTCACAGCTACTGGAGGCCTGCTCCCAGGGTCCAACCCGGGACTGCACCAGTCCTGCTGTAGGGCCTAACCGGTCCTGGTGTGGGTGCCTCCTTCACGGAGCTCCCTGGGTCTCCAACCACAGCCCAAATAATGAAAAGTGTTTGGGGGTTCCAGACCTCCAAGAGCACAGAATAGTGCTCTCCCCATATGATCAGTGGTCTTTCCCACCCTCACCTTACATTTGTTGGGACCGAGAGAAGGCTGGTGGGAATGAACTCGTAGGCTGGGAGGTAAAGTGTCAGAACCTTACTTGTCAATCGGGAATGAGGATGGGGAGGCTGTTCTCTTCGCCCTGGCTTGAGGCTGCCTGCAGCTTACCCCCAGCTAGGAGAGGTGGATTGGGGCCTAACAGGGCCAGAGAGCACATGAGCCCAGGCTACACCTCTGCACAGGAGTGCTCCCAGTCCAAGACCCCAGCCAGGAGGAGACTGGCTGTGGCCCTGAGGGCGGGCTGCACGCTTTAATGGGACACATGTCGCTGCTTGGCCCCCTCGGGCCCAGCCTGTGCCCGGCTTTGAGCAGCCACAGGCAGAAAATCGCTGCATTGTCCCAACATTAGGGCGACTAATGTGGCGTTGCCAGCGTGGCCAGAGCATGAAACCCGCAGAAAGGGTTCACTGGCGGGCCCTCCCTGCCTCCGCATCTTCATCAGGCCCAGAGAGGCCCGGCACCTTGTCAGAGTCATGAGCCAGGCTCAGAGCCAGCTGGGCCCATGAACATTCCTCAGGGGGTGCCCTCCCAGAATGCTTGGAGGCAAGGGGCAGCAAGGGGCCTAGTAAGTGGGCTTAGTGGTGAGGCTCACTACCTAGGGACACTAGACATGGAGAGAGGACAGGGCATGGAGGGGTGTGCATGGGAGAAGACCCCAGACTCAGGAAGTGGTGGGGGTGAGAGGGATAAAGGAAAGACTGGGAAAGGGGACGGGAGTCCCTTGGAAGAAAGGAGGGTTCCTGGAGGTGAGGCTGAAGCCCGGGCAAAGAGGGAGGTGGGGAATTTCACAGTGCATCCCCCTCTCATCTCCTCCCCCCCTCGGGGTTCCTAGAGCCCAGGAGCGCCTCATTGACATGTAAACGAGAAGCCCCTATAAAGGCGGCACTGCCTCCCACAGGCGCAGATAACGACACCATGGGCACTAAGCCCGGGACCCAGGCCAGCTCCGGTGGCCATGCCAGCGGCTTCCGCAAGGTCTGGGGTCCTGAGGAGCGCAGGGTGGGCGCCCTGCTAAGGCGGGGGTGGTGTGGGGCACAGGGTGAGAGGACCGTCACCCTGCCCTAAAATGCCACCCCTCCACAGATCTCCAAGCCACTGATGGAGAAGAAGCGACGGGCACGCATCAATGTGTCCCTGGAGCAGCTGAAGTCGTTGCTGGAAAAACACTACTCACACCAGGTGAGACGTGAGGCCGTGGTGAGGTGGGGGTGATACAATCCCCAACCTCATTCCTTCCAAATCGGACTGCCCAGCTAAGAGCCCTTTCCACTGATCTGCAGATCCGGAAACGCAAGTTGGAGAAGGCAGACATACTGGAGCTGAGCGTCAAGTACATGAAAAGCCTTCAGAACTCGGTGCAAGGTGGGAGGGCGTCTGGAGCCGGTAGGGCAAGGAGCTGCGGGGGCGGAGGGGTGACTTGTGAGGTCGGAGCCCTGGGTATGACAAGTCCAGATAAGGGAAAAATGGACGGAGAAGAAAGCTCGGGGCAGTGGGCAGCTGGGTGAGGAGAGGGCCCCAGATTGCTGGAGCCAGGAGGCCGCAAAGACCTTGCAGGCTAGTGCAGTTGTAATCCGGGTGGGCGAAAATCTGGACCCTGGGAAAGAAATTCGGGTTGCCTAGCCCCTCCCCTCCCTTCCCCGCCACTCTTCTCCCCACCTTTTCTCTCTCTACCCCTCTCCTTTCCTCCTCCCCTCTCCCATTCTTCCCTCCCCTTCACATTTCTCCCGTCCGCTCCCCTCCCGCCAGGGCTCCGGTCGGTTCCCAGCGGAGCTGAGTTCCCGTCGGGCTTCCGCAGCTGTCTGCCCGGCGTTAGCCAGCTTCTGCGGCGCCGAGAGGAGGGAGGCGGTGGCCTGCGCTGCCCCCTGGCGCACGAGCGCGCAGGAGGCAGCACCATGGACAGCGCCGGCCCGAGCCCGGAGGCACCCGCGCCGCTCGGCCCCTGCGCCCCTGCCATTTGGGCCCCTGCTCCGGCCACCGGCGGCTCGCCCTCCCCGCCACCCCTGCTCCTCTTCCCTGGAGGTCTCCCCGGCCCGTCCTCCAGCGTCCCGGGGCCGCAGCCGGCGCCGCGCCGCTGCACCGAGAGCCCGGGGCCGGGTCTGGGCGTTTGGCGGCCCTGGTGAGTCCCGGCGCGGCCTCGGACTCAAGGGGGCCCCCGCCTGGCATGGGGACGCAGAGACTGTTTAGAGCGCGCCTGCGGTGACGGCCAGGACCCCCAGTCGTCCGTCCCGGTCCCGTGGCAGGGGTGGCCGGGAGGGTGCCGCGCGCCCGCGAACGCGAGGAAATACACGGAACCACAGGGGGGACCGGGGTCCACCCCCCACCCTAATCCCACCTACTCAAGCCAGACCCGCTCTCTCTTCTTCCCACCTTCTCGTGGGGCTGGGAGGGGATGTCCCGGGCTGCGCCTCTTTCCCAGGGCCCCCGGCGGGCAGCCCGCCCCCACCCCCGCCCAGCAGCCACGCCGCGGTGGGAAGGTCGCCGTCGGCAGCGGCGCAGAGCGGACCCCTCGCAGCGAGGAGAATTGCTGCCCCGCCCCGGCCCATTCAGCCAGCCGAGGACGCCCGGTTCCCACCGGCACAAAGCGCGCCAGGTCCCGCCCCGCCGGCGAGGGGCCCCCAGCCCACCCCCACCTGGGATCCTCTCGGCTTCCACGGATCCCCACCCCCTCCGCACGAGGCGCAGCCCACCCGGCAGGCGCGCTCTCCGAGGTCCGCCCCTCTCAGAAGACCCGCCCGGAGCGGTCCCGGCTCAGCAGCCCGCCCCGCAAGATGCTCCGCCTCCACTGCTTTAGCTGGGGCGCGGGTGGGGTGAGTTCCTGGGGGGTCCAGGGGCACTGAGAGTGGGAGGCCTCAGGCGCAGAGGCCACAGCAGGCCACACACTGAAGACTGACCCCCACAAGGGACAGTGCCTTCGGTTCACCCCACGCCCCGCCGTGGCCGCCACAGAGCCCGCGACCCTCGACAACCCTCGGAGCGCTCGGCGCCTGTTTATTCGTCCGAAAACGAGGTCATTTCTGTGCTCGGACTCTAGCCCGGGGTCCCGGTTCTCGAGCGGCAGCCTGGGGTTGGGGGACGGGAATCCCGCGCCGAGCCCCGGAAGAGATCCTGGCACTTCCAGTTTGAAATTCAGAATACACACTGGGCAAACCTGTGAAATGGGTATAAAGAGACCACGAAGGTCCAAATTTCTCCCACGATGCCTGCTTGGGTGCATCTTTTGAACGACAAACACCGACTTTCTATAAAACATTTCCCTTTTAGGAGTGCCCCTGCTTTGCCTGTGTGCTAAACCCGTTCTGGTTAGGCTGCGAGGAGAGAGCGGCCCGGCTCCCCCACTCCACCCATCAGGCTCTTTGGAGCACAGGCGGGGAGGGGGTCCCCGCTGTGGCGGTCCTGGGGCCGGCCTCTTGGGTCTCCGCCTCCTACTGCGTTGGGGGCGACTGGGGGACCAGGGCAGCCGCACTAATCCCTCTGCCAGCCACTAGGTGGCGACCTTACGCCGCGGACCCTGGCGCGGCCTCCAAATTCTTACCGGAGCCAAACGGTCCGGCACCACCACCGCCTCCCAGCCTCGGCCCTACGCTTCTTGCCCTCCTGAGCCAACCTCATAGGGGCTAGACGCCCCTGAAGCCACACCTGGAGCCGAGGCTGTAAGCTGCCCTTCTAGGGCTTCTTTGGTGCCCAGCCCACAGCTCCATCCTGCAGCTGCTCCAGGCCAGTCTCACTCGCTGGGTGGGGCTGCAGCAGTTGCATAGAAAAGGGGCACCGACCCAAAGGATGGCGCACTAGGAGGAATTCCGGACCCAGAGGAGAGACGTGTGGGGGCAGCTGGCTAAGCAGTGCTGCTCTATTCTAGAAAGGTGTTTCCATGAAACTAGCCTAGGAATGCCAGGTGCAAATCATAGGAAGTTTTTATTGTATCCTGTACAGAAGAGAAATGCTCAGTTGTCAAAAAACTACAAACGGATCCCTGGCTCTGGGTGGGTGGTGGTGTGAAGACAGAGCTCCCTCCCCTGTGAGCCCAGGGTCAAGCTGCTTATGCAGCAAAGAGGCCTAGAGGCTCATGAAGTGTGAGAGGAACCCCAGGCTCCAGGGTCCTCCGTTTGGGGTCCTCCCTCCTTTTTATTTTTGTAAAAACCAGAACTGGAGGGACTTTGGGGTACCATGTCTCCCTGCAGATATTGCCATTGGATACAAAGTACACAGAGTAAAAACCCAATGTGACAAATGGGCCGGCCTGAGCAGGGGTGAGTGGGTGGAGGGGTGAGGTGGGGGGAACGACACAGTGGCTAGCTGAAGATCTCTACCCCCACATGACAGGTTGGTCCTTGAAGGCACAGCGATGGCCAGAGGTGGCGCGCCCCACGGCTGCAGCTGTACTGCAGCTTCCTGCCTTGCTCACCTGTGGCCAGCTCCTCCCTCCCATTACCCCCCCAGCCAGCGACTAGGGGGAATCTCAGAAGCAGAGATGGAGCCAGTCCCCTATCCTTCCCCCCCTCCCCGCCCCCCAGGGGCCTCTTCTGGGGCTGACACCTTGTCAGCTGGGTGAGGAAATAGGCTTGGCCACAGGCGGGAAGGTTGGGGCGGCTGCAGAGCAGGAGGGAGCACAGTGCAGGCAGGCTCCGTGCAGGCCCTGGGATCTGCTCCAGGTTTTCCCGTGTAGGGCCATTGTGCCAAGGCAGGGGCCAGGACGAGACCACTTCTGCATTTGGCCCTGTCCTTTCAGCTCAAGATCACAGCTGTTCCCGGGCCTCTGCTTAGCCTGATTCTAGGGTCTCTCTCCACGGAAGACCCAGCAGGCCCCTCCCCAAGGCCCATGGCAAAGCCTAGGCTAGCAAGGGGTCTGCTCAGGAAAGAGAGCAAAGAGCCCTGCCCCCGGGGTGAGGGAGGACCCTCAGCAGGGACCAGGCCTTAAACCCAGAATCTGGGAGACCTCTAAGCCAGGACCCTGTCCCAGGGGCCTCAAGATAAGGAAGCCCATTCTCCCTTTGCTTCAGTTCTTTCCCATCATGGACCCACGACCTTCATGGTGGGAATCCTAGAGGAGGCTGCCGTGGTGGGGAGAGTGATGAGGGCGGGGACCCTAACAATGGTCAAGGTGGGTGATGGCGCAAAGTGTTGTGCTTTAGCTGGGGCGCGGGTGGGGTGAGTTCCTGGGGGGTCCAGGGGCACTGAGAGTGGGAGGCCTCAGGCGCAGAGGCCACAGCAGGCCACACACTGAAGACTGACCCCCACAAGGGACCCACAGAGGGCCCTAGACGCTCTCACACCCTGTCCATGCAGGGGCCGGTGCACACGGACCAGGAGACTTCTCCAAACAGTCCTGAGAGTTAATGTGGTCACCTGCTCATTACAGATGGGGAAACTGAGGCAGAACTGGTCAGCAGGAACACCTGCTCAGAGAGTTTGTTTGGGCTCTGAAGACCCCTGTGCTGAGAGACCCTCTGTACCCTGCCCCCCACTGAGGTGAGACAGTTAACAGTGCAAAGTGGAAAGCAGGGTGCAGTCAGTCCCGTGGCTCCTGCTTCTGCAGGGCTGGGCTTTGTTCTGTCTGGTGGTGGCCCTGTCCCTGGGCTCCTTGCTGCCACCCCCATCCCCCCAGTCCCGCTGCCCAGGCACATCAGGGCGTGCAGAGCCCGCCTTTACCCAAGTCCAGCCTCGCTCTGCCCGGTGATGCGCTACCCAGCCGCGGTTCAGGGCAGCCGCCGCCCCTCCAGGCAACGCCCACGGCTCAGTCACGCAGGGAGGGCTGGCACTTGGCCAGGCGCCGTTGGCAGGCCCCGCGTGGCGCTGCCCGGGACCCGGCCTGGGTCAGCGTGGCATCTTTGGTGCTTTGGTCCCTGCGGGCGGCCCGGCCCGCCGGGCGCGCGCGTGGGGAAGCGCCGGCAGGCCCTAGGACGCGGAGCCCAGCGAGTCCGAGTGCAGCGTGACGTAGCCCGAGGAGTCGGAGGGCGAACTCAGGAAGCTGCTGGTGCTGCCGGCGCCGCCGCCGCCACCGCCACCGCCGCCACCGCCGCCACCGCCGCCACCCGCCGCGTGCAGGCCCCCGGGCTCGCCCCACGACGCGCTCAGGCCGGTCCTCAGGGGTCCCGCGTGCGCGTGCACGGCCAGGCGCGGCCCGGGGCTCCGTTGCGCGCCGCCGCCGCCAGGGGGCGCCGCGTCTTCGCCGGGCCGCGAGCTGTCAAGGAAGGGCCCCGGCGGGGCTGGCGGGGCTGGCGGGCGCCGCAGGGCCTGCGGCTCGCTCTCAAAGGCGGTCAGCGCGAAGGCGTCGGGCAGCAGCGAGGCCGAGGCGGAGCGGGCGCCGGGCCCGGGGCGGAGGCGCGGGCTGCCGGGGGGCGAGTCGCGGGCGCGGCGTGGGCCGCCGTCGGGGGCCAGGGGGCGCAGCGACAGCAGGCTCTCGGCGGAGCGGCGGCGCGGGCGGAACGGGGGCGCCTCCTCTGCGCAGGCCAGCAGGCTGCCGCGGCGTCGGTCAGGCCCGGCGGGCAGCACCAGGGAGGGCAGGTCCTCGCCCGAGCCCCAGCGCGGCAGGAAGGCGGGCAGCGGGACGGCGGCCCACACTTCCGCGTCGTCGTGGGAGAGGCGTCGCGTGGGCGGGACCTGTCAGGACGGGCGGGGTTAACCCGGGCTGCCCTCCTGGAACACGGGGACCGACGCGGGGCCTCAGAGAGGCAAGGCCTTGGGGCGATCACGATACGCCCCCCCACCCCGCATTTCCGGCGTCTGGAGCCCGGCCCTGTCCCTACCTGCAGGTACTGCGTCTTGTCCTCCTGCAAGGGCCGCAGCGGGTAGAACTGGGGCAGGCCCCCCTCCAGGGCCGAGAGCTCATACTTTGCCATTCTGTCCAGGGCCACAAAGTCACCTCCATAGCTGTAGTCGAGGGAGTGCTCCAGCACCAGGTCCGGGGGGATGCCACCCTCCAGGCTGGTATCTGCAGGGTGGGGCAAAAGCTTAGGGCCGTGGAAACCTGGGGGCGCCGGACAGTGAGTTCTAGGGAGCCTCAGAGACACAGAAAGGGCAGGAGGCTGGGTTCAGATCCTGACACTGCCACCTTTTAGCTGTGGGACTGAGATCACCTGAGCCAGGCTCCTCCTCTATGGGGATGGGATGTGATGTTACCTGGTGAGCTTTGGGGGTGGGGGACTAAATACACATAGGGTCTGACCATAGCAAAGCCTCAACCGAGGGCAACGCTGTTATTGCTGGGGTGAGACAGCACCTGGGTCTACGGGAGCCTTCCGGGGACCCCTAAGGGTGGAAGCTCTGTGGGACGCATTCAGTCTGGTGTCCACAGGTCCTGCCTGGGTAGGAGGATGCGCCACAGGACACTTAGGTCCCTTGGGGGTTCAAGCACATGGTCACCTGTGATCCTGCTGACCTCACCCAGGCACCACTCTCCCCTGGGGCCGCTCCCAGGCCATCCTCACCATTGTCTGAGTCCTCATCGTTAGCCATGAGGGCCACGCACTTCTCCCAGACGGCTTTGAGGTCGGCGCGGTAGCGGTCGCAGGCCCAGAGGAATATGGGCAGCAGGAGGGCCTGGGCCACCGAGCACCAAAGCACACACAGTGCCATCCAGGGTGCCGAGGCGTCCGCCCGAAGGCTGCTGAAGCTCACCACCTGTGGGCACACGGCTCGGCCTGGCACCTGGCAGGACCCCTGTCACACAGCTTGCCCCTCCCCCAGCCTCAATTCTCCCACCTGCCAGAGGAGGAGGAGGGAGACAGAGCTATAGGCTCCTGGGCAGGAAAGAACCAGAGCGTGAGCAGAAGTCCCTCTCCACCAAGAGCTGTCGGCTACCAACATGAACAGCCATCGCCCCGTGTGTGCATGGACAGCCCTTCACAGAGGGCCTTGCCCCATGCCAGCCTCATGACTGCCCGAGGAGAGAGGCAGGGGCATGGTTTACCAACCCCTTTTTGGGAAGAGGAAGCTGGAGCTTGGAGAACCAGGTGTCAAACTTACCAGGTCAGGGACTTTTTTTGCCATCCCCACTCCTCTGTGGCCAAGTGGCCTCCTTAGCCCTACCCGTACCCTGGGGGGCACCGGGGGTCTAGGTCTTGGATCTCAGAGGAGAATCAAAGGAGTTTCTGAGAATCAACCAGGAAGCCTTTGGGTGCCTGCCCAGGGACCCTCACTCCTGTCCCAGGAGAGTTCATTCCCCCACCCAGAGTGACATTTAATTATTCCCCCATCAGAGCAGAACTGGGTATGATACACTCATCATGCTGGTTCTGCTGTGTGACCCTCAGAAAGGTGCTGAACCTCTCTGGGGCTCAGTTTCTTCATCTGTGAAATGGGCCAAGAACACCCCAGAGAGTGAGGTAAAGATCCCAGACACCGTAGCAGGCCTGCAGCATGGAGCGGGCTCCATAAACTGCACTCCCTTCCATGCCCTGAAGAGAAGCTGGGGAGGCTCTTCCTCCATGGCTGTCCCCTTCTGATTCTGCAATTGTATACACGCTCCTTCCCTCCATCAACACAGGCTGGAGACGCGGGGCCCCACTGCACACAGAACCCAGCACCTGGGTAGGGCGGTTACCAGGCCCACTGAGGGTGGAGCCACAGGGTGCCTGGGACTGCATCCTGTGTGTCCCCTGACTCTGAGGCTGCCACCCCACCTGCCACCTTCTGGAGCTTGTGTCCTGCAGTGACTCCAGGGACACAGCCCTGCCCAGCTGCTCGGACAAAGTCTCTGGCTGGTCCTTGCCCCAAAACCCCTCCCTACCCCACTCCAGAGCTTTCAGGGGGTTGGGCTGGAACCCTGTGGGTGCAAGTGCATGGCTACTGAATCCAGACTTTATTCTTGGGCCAGGTGGGTATGTGACTTCACTTTCCACACCCTCTGATTCGAATGGGCCTCACCTTGGTGAGGTATGTCCCCTACAGTGTACCACAAAGATCCTGGGCTCCGCAGTCCCCTGACATGGGCTCAAGTCCTCATACAGCTGCCTTAACTTTAGGTGGGTGATGGTTCCACTCTGAACCTCAGTTTCCAAATCTAAAATGGGGATGATGATAATGCCGCCCCCTCCCTCCCTCCCTCCCTCCGAGGACTGGATGGGAGGATTCAACCACCTGATGCCTGGAGCATGCCCAGCCCCAGGGCTGTCCCAGAGCCCACGTCCCGTCCCCGGAGAGGCTCCCACCCGCTGACAGTCTCACCCACCAGCACGGGGAAGCCCATGAGGCAGTCATAGATGATGACGATGGTGGCCACCAGGCCCGTGATCTGCAGCGAGGTTTTGGCAGGCTCAGAGCCGTCGATGGAGGAGCGGCGCTTGCCCTGCGCATCCTCCACCACAATGGTGGGCACGGTGAAGGCGCGGTGGCCGGCCCGCGGCCCCACCTGCACAGCCAGTGTCTGGAAGAGGGCAATGGCGGTGCAGACCACACCCATGGCCACACTGCCGCCCACCAGCAGCAGGAAGCAGACGCCGAAGCCAAGGCCGATCTCAGCCACGATGAAGCGGCAGCCGTGGGTGTAGAAGCGTTCACTCGTGTCGTGCCAGCCGACGGCAGGCAGGGCGGACAGGATGAAGGACACCATCCAGATGCCCATGACCGTATGCACCGCCTGCTTCTTGGCGTTGCTCAGCCTGGCATGAGGTGGGGGCAGGACCGAGGTGTCACTCCCAGGGTCTTCCCAGAGCCCTGGGGCCCTGCAAGCGATCCCCAACTGCCCTGGCCCCCTGGTACATCATCGTCACGGCACGGCCAGCAGAGTGGGGCCTGTCCCTTGCACAGGGGATCCTCATGCATGTAGTCACACATCCCTCCCACCACGCATTTCCGTACTGGACACTGTGGACACCCCTGCACGTGCAGGTGTGCAGCCCAGAGCAGCCCTTCCTGAGCCTCTGGGGGGGGGCGCGTTTCTGCGCACGGGTATCCCAGGTGGCCTCTGTGCCCACTGCCCACACGACCCCCCCTCTAAGACCACCAGACGCCGAAGTGCAGAGGTGCGCGTGCTCCGGGGCTCACCGGTAGTTGACGGGCCAGCGAACCATCCACATGCGGTGGTAGGAGAGGGACGTAACGGAGAAGCAGGTGGCCAGGGTGAGGGTGTAGAAAGTGGAGACGAAGACCTTGCAGAGGCCTTCGTTCCACTCGTAGTCGGGGCGCTGCCGCCGCAGCTGCACCACGGAGTACGTGGCGATGGGCACTGCTACGTTGAGCATGTGGGTGGCCGCCAGTGTGCACAGCAGGAACTCTAGCGGCTTCCACTTCTTCTGCTTGGCTCCCACACTCAGGATGCCCCAGGCGTTGGCGAGCAGGGAGAGGCCTCCACACGCCAACCAGCCCACTGCGCTGCCGGGCAGCCGCCGCTCATCACTCATGGTGCAGATGGGAGCTGGCCGGCAGCTGAGACATCCTCCTTGGGGGCCAGGCCCAGGCTCGGAGCAGAAGCCCTCACACGTGGTGGGTCGGAGACACCAGGGACCGCGAGCATCTGCAGTGGGGGAGAAGCCAGGGAGTGCTCAGAGATTGTCCCTCTGGCTAGGGCATCAAAGCTCTCGGGCCTCCAGGGAGTGGGAGAGGGAGGGGCCCCCTGATGCACCATGACCTGTGCGGTCCTGACTTGGGCTGGGCTGCTCCACCCTCCTCTCCTCAGGGGCCTCTAGCCCATGTCCCTGGCACCCAGGGGACTAGCCAGGGGTGCCCAGTAAGTGCAAACACCCTCCCTTCCACCCACTCCTGGCCAAGGTATGGAATCTGGGTTTGCTCCTGGGACAGCTGACATCCACAGCTCACTGTGTGAGCACACAGTGGTGCTCTGGGGAGGTGATCAGTGCTATGCTGTGGATGCCTGGGACAGCATGGGCCTGTAGACAGCCGAGGGACCAGACCTTGACCCCAAGGAGGAACTGCCGATAGCCTATGGCCACAAGCCAGGGACACAGGATGTTGGGTAGAATGCACATGTTGCAGAGGCCGTCCATCCTGCCAGAGAGCCGGGCTCTAAGTCCCTCCCTCCCCCTTCCCAGCCCAGCAGCCCCAAGCCACGCCCCTGTGCATGGCTTGAGCCCTGGCTTGAGCACTGGCTGGTCCCTCTGATGTGGGGCCCCACAACAGGCGTCTCTGGCCATAGCCTGGAGGAGGCAGCATGGGGAGAAGTACAATGCTAAGAGAAGGCCTACTGTGTGTTCTGCACACTTGGCCCTTTTTACTCCGGAGCCTGTTTAATCTTACTGGTTGCAAGTTTCTAGCCTCCAACACTTATGAGCACCTACTGTTACCAGACACAGCCATGTGATCCCCCAGGGGCTTTACCCAGCTTGGAACGGACAGGCCATGGCAGGCCCCTGGCTCTCAGGGCAGGCGGAGCAGTACCACTTGGTCCTGCTGCCAGGCGCCGCTTCTTGTCTCGTCTAGAGTTCTTTGGGTCTGTCTGCGGCCTGACCCCACCCCCCACCTGGATACAGAAGGACCCCTCAGGGGTGAGTCTCCTTCATCCCCATGCCCCAGCCTCGGGCCTGCCCAGACCCCTGACCCAGGGGAGGAGTCTATTCTGGACCACACCGGTGCTCCTTAAGTGCCTCCTAGGAGGTTGGGGGGTTTCTGGGGACAGGAAAATTCCTTCCCAAACATTAGGCTTCTGCTTACAGAGCATCCTCCTCTTCCCCACCCCAGATCCAGTGTGGGAGGTGGCGTGGCCCCATGGGACCCTCCACCAGCCATTGCAGAGTCCAGCAAAGCTCTCTGACCTTAGCATACAGAGGCCACATGGGGTTGGATAAAGAGCTGCTAGATTCTCGCCCACCCGCCAGTTATAGACTCAGCCGGGCCTTGTTTTTCTCATCTGTGAGCTGGACATGATGATACCTCCCCGGGAAGGTGCTGTGAGTAGCAGACACGCTATGCCATGGACGGGGCCAAGTACACAGTACGCCCTCAACGAATGCTTGCCAGGTACAAGTCTGTACTACAGCCCACCCAGCTCACTGAGCTCCGCTGTCCCTTAAGGCCGAGACACTGAGCTTGGGGGTGTGGGTAAGCCTCAGACCTGTGGGTAGACACAGCCACCCCAAGCAGAACCTGGGACAGCACCGCTTTGGGGTGAGGAAGCCCAAGGGGGTCCCGAGCAGGCAGGGTGTGGGTGCTGCTGTGGGCCAGAGACTGCAGACACCGGTGATCTTTACATTGTCCAACAGGAAGCTGGATTCAGCATGCACCTGGTGGGCCAGAATCTATTTCCACCCGCACTGGGTCTCCTTGGCTGTCCCACTGGGAGGCCTTCCCTCAGAATCCCCACAGGCTCTGTCTGGCCCCCGTCACCCGGGGCCCTGTTGACCACTGGTGCAGGGTGGTGGGGCAGGTGCCACAGGCCACAACTGGCATAACCTTTCATGGTGCCAGATCTGCCCCGTGTCTGGCCTAACAGTGTCTCACTGCATGCAAAGGCCCTCGGTCTGTGGGCAGGAGGACCGTGACTTGCCTGGAGAGGGAGCAGGCAATGGGAACGGGCACAGTCCCAGTTAGTGTCCCCAGAGATGTTGTGTGATCAATACTGACATTATCCCCATTTTAAAGAGAGTCCAGCAAAGACAGAGAGAGGTTAAACCATTTGCCCAAGCTATGAAGTGTCTGAACCAGGACCCAAGCCCCACTCTGCTGACATCAAAATTCCTGGCCTCTCAAATCCAAGCCCAAACCCTAACCCCAACCCAAGCAACAACAGGCATTTTTTGTTCCTTGAACTGAGGTTGCCTTTTTCAACTACCTACCCCTGCAGGATGGGTCCTGCTGTTCCCACACTGCAGATGGGAACACTGAGGCTCAGAACCCGGAGCCACACAGGGAGGAAGTGCGAGGGCCGGGTTTGGAGCCTAGGACTCCCGAGAGCCGTGGTGCTGGGATGGGGGAAGGATGCCACTGCGGGGTGAATACCAAGTCCTCCAAACACACAGTGAGAAGGGGCTAACGGTGCAGGGACCGGGAGACCCCTTCCTCCGGGCTGATCAGGCGGCTGCTGTTCATTCCCCACAGGGAGCAGCAGACGCGGAGGGCCAGACCCCAGGCTGGGCTCCAGCCAGTGCGGTCCAACACCCAGGTGTCGCCGCTCCCCACTGGGAAGTTTCTTCCGCAATACACTCAAAGCGTCCCCCCAGCATTTCAGGTTGGGGCTTCCTGCCTCCCCCAGATCCCGGAGCCCCCCCTTTCTCCCCTCCCCCCACAGCTCGTCGCTGGGCGGACTGCAGGTGTGCCGGGCGTGGGACCCAGCCTGCCCAGAAGCCTCTCCCCGCCCCACCCGCGCTGGGTCTTCGGGCGGGGCCCCGGCGTGACGTCACGGCCCCGGACCAATGAAGCCTCGTGGCCCCAGGGCTCTATTGCGCAACAAAGAGAACCCAGAACTTGAAAGGATTTCCCGGGCTCCAGGCGGGCTCCAGCTGCACCCGCCCAGCTCGCGCGGGCCTGCGCCCTGGCTGCTACCCACCCGCGCCCCCAGCTGCGCCCCTCCCGCGCTGCCACCCGTCGGCCCGTGAGGTCCAGCCCCGCTGCCGCCCGGGGCGGGGCTCGCTGCGCGGAGCCTCCGCATCTCCGGCACGCCCCCCGCCCGCCCTGCCCGCCCCCCAATCCCGCGGGCCCGGCTCCTCCGTGCTTCGACACTCGCGCCCGACCCGGCGCGTCCCAGCCTGCCGGTCCCCAGCGGGACCCCCAGCCCTACCCAGCCCCGAGGGCGCGTCCGAGCTACCGCCCGGGAGGCGGACGCCCCAACGGATTACTCTGGGTAGGGGTGGGCCCAGTACCCCTAAACTGGCCGTCCCCGCTCCCTGCAAGCGGCGCTCCTAGACCCGGAGGCGGGGGGGGGGGGGGACAGGGGAGAGACCGGGGAAGAGGCCAGCCCCAGGGAAGTTACCCCGGAGGTCCCCGAGTCGGGGGTGGGGGTGCGCGGCCCTCAGGGGTGCCCGCGGCCCCTCGGACAGACCGTGAGGGCAACAGACCGCAGGCAGCCCCTCCCTGCCCAGGAGCCTCCCGCCGGGGGTCCTCCCTCCCGGGGTCCTTCCCACCCAGCCGTCCTCGGGCCCGGGCGGCGGCGCTCACCCTGCACTGGGGGGCCCGGGGCTCCTGCTCGCTGCTCCCGCCTCCGGCTCTGGCTGCGGCTCACGCGCTCCCCGGGCGAGCGCGGGCCGCCGGGGGCCGCGGGGGTGGCTGGCAGCGGAGCGGCCCGCGGGCCGGGGCATCCTGGCGGCGCCGCCCGGGGCCCGCACGTTCCGCTCGGCTCAGCTCGGCCCGCCGCCCCTCCCTCCCCTCGCGCCGCCGCCGCGCTCGGCTCCCGCCGCTCCGCCGGCTGCGCTCGGGAGGCCGGGGGCGGGGGGCGGAGCAGGGCGCATGCCTCCGCACCGCCCCTCGGACCGCCCCGCCCCCGCCCCCGGAGGCGCGGCCCGCCGCCGCGTCCGTCTGTCGGTGCATCTGTCGGTCCATGGTTCCCCAGCCTCCCCGCCGCCGCGGGACTGAAGCCCCCTAGGGAGCGCGGCCCCCCGCTGCCGTCTCAGGTCGGTCCACTGCCCCGATGTCGCCTCCAAGCCCCCTGGCAAAGGGAAGGCCCAGAGCTCTGGGGGCTGGCAGGTCGAGGGGGCCTGGGGCCAGAATGGGCAGCGCGAGTCTAGGGACGGGGGTGGGGGCTCAGGGAGGCCTTCCCGGAGGAAGCCACATCTAAGGTGAACAATAGGGGTGGGGTGCGGAGTAGCCTGAGGATTAGATACTTTCAGGACCTGGGGAGTTTGTCAGGATCAAGGGGCTGGGGCAGGAGAGGTAAGGTTGGGCCAGTTAAGGATTCAAACTTATCCTGGGCCCGGGGCGCGGTCCACCATGGCATGGTGACCAGGCCACAGGGCTGCCAGGTGGGTTTGCCCCTTCCCCCCAAGGGCTCAGAAATGTTCTCAAGCTGGAACTAGGACAGCGCAGCAGGGGGAGGCCGGGCCTACAACCCAGAACTCCTGGCCCCGACCCCCCTCAGGAGCTCCCCCCCTTAGCACTCCTGGCGGGTGCACAGGCTGCCACCCATAGACATCTAGAGGGAATCGTATCAGCGTCGACTGGGGGCCTCTGGAGACCTCTGGAGTCACAAGAGAGTGATTGCTGGTATCTTGGTCTCCCAGCAAGGCAGCGGACCCTGCCTGTCTCCTGTCTCTTCTAGAACACCCGTGACCACACACCCCGGGCACAAGGCCTCCAGTTACTCTGGGCTGTTGGCATGACCCTGCCCTGCCCATGCACCTGGGAAGGGGGCACCTGTCCAGACAGGACTAGCCAAATGCAGCCAGTGCTGCCTGCACCGCTCCTCGGCCTGGCACCCGCACTGTCCCCAGCGCCCCCATCTCCATATCCCAGGAGCAGCTGGGGAGTTAGGAGCAGCTGTTAGAGGAGACCCAGGGTAGGCCTTAGGGTCAGTCCTCTGAGACAAAAGTAAAGGTGTTTGTATCCAAAGGCTCCAAATGAAGTGGGGCTGGTGAATGGGGGGCCTTGGGCCATGCACTCTGTGTGTGTGGCTTCTGGGCAGTCAGGGCCCCTAGTGAGCCCTCCGTGGACGGGCCAGCTCCCTGACCAGCGGGCCCTGGTTATAAATAGGCCACCAGCAGTGGGAGGCTGGCACAAGGAGCCTGGTTATCAAGTGTGACATTTCTAAGGCAAACACAGGCGATCCAGTCATCCCTAGCCTTTGGCCACACTGCTGCTCCACTGGCAGAGGGCAGCCTGCCCCAGGCGTTTGGCCCCCAGCACCCCCTCCACCAGCCCAGCTCACCCACTACTGCCTTTGCTAGCGTGCCCCTGCCCCGGGCTCAGCTGGCTCCAGGGGCAGGGGGGGATGGGCCTCCAGTGGCCATCCCAGAGGCCTTGTGCTAAATGCTTTGTTAGCCTGGGCTCCCCCCAGCTGCCCTGGGAAATGGATTTTAGGTACCTGGCTTGCCCAAAGCCACACAGATGAGTGGCCAAGCCAAGACTGAGAAGGACGGAGATGCCCTAGTGCCCCCTTCCCTCGGGGAACCCAAGGGCTCAGGCACTGCCATAACCAGTCCAGTTCTGGTTTCACGGACCATGGTTTGGCCGGCCTGGGCTGGGCTTTCTGCTGGGCACGCAGGGCAGGCCTCCTGGTCGCTCCCAGCCCAGGCACCACCATCGCCTTCAGGAGGTCGGCATGGGGCATGGGTGGAGCTGGGGCGGCTAAAGGGGTTGCTGCCGGGGCCTCATGTGGCGCGTTCCCTCCCCCCCGCTTCCAGGCAGGAAATAACCCCGTCAGCTGGGACTGAGGCCTGAGACAGATTCCAAAGCTCTTGGCGGGGGTTTCTGCACATCTGGAGCCTCCTTCTCTCTCTCTCTGGGCCTGAGGGAGCCCTGTGTGAGGCTGCAGCTGTTGTGGTCAGTCTCCATCTCCAGGCTTCCAGGATGAGCCCGAGTTGGGAACATTCTCCCACCACCAGGTGTGCTTGGTGGAGGAGTCTTCCTCAGCCACGGGTGGGGGTGAAGGACAGATGCCCGTAGTGGCCTCAGCAGCTTGTCTGCCCCCTGAGGTTGCTGGCCTCGGTGCACACACAGGGCCACAGATGTGCACACACGCACACACGCAGTCATGCATGGGCACCATTCGCACACACACCCCCCTCAGACCCCCCCCCCCAAACCTTCCCAATAACCCGTTGGCCTGAGAGGCTGGGGGTTTCCACGACAGGCATGGGGGCCCTGGCACCAGCTGGGAGGCTCCTTCTAGCAAAATCTCTGCCTCTTTCTCCAGAGGGCCAAGGTTTCAGCGCTGCTTCCACTAAGAGGTGGAGGGAAGCCAGGGCAGGGCTCCCATATGCTGAGGGTGCTGCAGCCGGGCTGGCCTCAGCTTTCTCTGCACATCACCTCCCTGACTCCTCGAAAGCACTGTCCACCCCGTCTACGGGAAGGCTACTGGGGGCTCAGAGCTGGCATCTTGCACAGGCCAGAGAGAGGGCAAGGGGGGGCTGGTGCCTCCAGGCCAGGACATGGAACCAGGGCCCCGGGAGGGAAGGGGTGTTCTCTCCAGCAAGCACCTGAGTTCTGGGGTACACGCAGGCATTGGCACCCGGGGCGGGGGAGGGAGGGGTGGGCCCATGGAAGCCTCTAGTCCCCTCATCAGTGCCCACCAGGAACGCAGCCCCCCAAGACAAATGACCACTCAGGACCAAGGTCCAGCCAAACAGCAGCTTTATTAGTGACGCTGGATTTTTTACACACCGTACAGTGTGCACGCAAGTATTCCCTAGGGAGCGCTTACACTGGAGTGATAGAAATAAAGCTTTGGTGTGTAGGTTTTCGGGAGAGCACAGGTTAACACTGCAAGACGAACACTTCACACAACACCAGCTCTCAGTGTGGGTTGGGTTTTTGGCCAAGGGGGTGAATTCTAAGTGACTAGACACTGGGGCCACTCCAGGCCCAGCGCGGGGGCGGCCCCTAGGGCTGGGGCTCCGTCCGGCCCTGCCGTTTGGCCTTCATCTGCAGGTACCGCCCTTTGCCTTCCTCAAAGCGCTTCTTCTCGTCCTCGGTCTCGGGCTGTGGACCACACACAGAGACAGGCAGGTTAGAGAGGTCACGGAACCCTGACTGTGGGCCAAGGCCCAGGCCCTACCCCAGGAGGGCCCAGAAGACCCCCCCGGGGTTCCATTGGCCAGCTGGGGCTGCCTGGGTGCCAGGCGCTGGCCCTGTAGGGATGCCAGTGTCAGGGGCACCCCCACGCCACCCTTCACAGCAGGTGGAGCCCCAAGCCCAGTGCCCATTTGATAATGAACTGCAGCTGGAAATGCTGTTGATAAATGAAACGTGGGAGGGAAGGCCTAAAACAGGGCCAGGTGTGAGGAAGGAAAAGAGGGTCCCTGTTGGGGATGCTGCGTTTGGTCCACTCCCAGGGAATGCCAGTTGCTCACAGTCCCTGCCCCAAAGGGAAGTGGGGACAAGCGCTGTGCTGGCTGTGTCCCCTTGGGAAGGCCACTTTATTGTACCAGGAGCAACAGTGACCGCTCTGTGGGCAGGGAGCCCTGGATGGCGCAGATGACCAGGAAGCGGCTCCTTGGGTCCTGCTCACCCCTTCTCTGTCACGTCTTTCCTCTGAGCAACCTAGGAAGCCACATCCCCATACACGGGGTGGGGGGTGCAGAGCCTACTGACCAGAGGGAATTGGCCGAACTGGCAGGATTGTGAACGGTGCCCCTTTCACTTTTTTTTTTAAGATTTTATTTATTTGCGAGAGAGAGAGAGAGAGAGAGAGAGAGAGAGAGCGAGCACAAGAGGGGGGAGGGTCAGAGAGAGAAGCAGACTCCCCGCCGAGCAGGGAGCCCAGTGAAGGACTTGATCGCCAGGGATCATGACCCGAGCCAAAGGCAGTCGCCCAACCGAGCCACCCAGGCGCCCGCCTCCTTTCACTTTTAAGAGTGGCCTGGTCTGAAGGTGCCTGGGGGGCTCAGTCGGTTAAGCTATCTGACTCTTGGTTTCGGCTCAGGTCATGATCTCAGGGTCGTGAGATCGAGCCCCACGTTGGGCTCCGTCCTCAGCACAGTCTGCTCGAGGATTCTCTCGCTCCCTCTGCTCCTCCGCACCCTCCCCCACTGTCTCTCAAAATTAAATTAAATTAAAAAAGAGTGGGCTGGCCTGGTCGCTAAGGGGTGTGACGCCAGGCAGAGGCCACTCCCTGAGGCCCCATCTATCCCACTGTGAAGTTCTCTCTCGCCAGCCCTGCTCAGGAATTCAGGTTCCAAGAGCTGTGTTGATTCCTCTGGGACATTTCCTTGCGATACCGTGAGGGTGTCTGAAAGCCAAAGAAATGGGGCAGTTGCCCTTCATCCACAATGACACCAAGCCCCAGCAGCTATTTTTAGGCCCAAGTGTTTTACAGGCAAATGGTATATTGGCAAAAGAGAGAACAATCAGCCAGAGGATGTAATGTCAGGTTAAACCAAATATTTCCTCCCCCTCAGCCTTCTCAGAAATTGTTCGCTAAATGTCACCAGGTGTAAACTGTCAAAACCTTGTGGCTTGGAGCCAGTGGAACATTTGGGTATTTAAAGAACTAAGATCATGCTCCTTATAGCAGTTCTGGTTCGTATTTGAAGAGTCTTCGGAGCACACGTGGAAGCTGGTGGCTTCCCAAGACGCTTTATTGAGGAAGGCCCTCCTGCTGCTCTGGTTTCATCTCTGGCTTTTTTAAAAATGAAATTTGAGGCCATGCAATTTGACCTGAAACAGCCTGGGGAAACAAAGTGTTCTCTCGGTTAGAGCAGGCAGTGCTTAGGGGTAGCTTCCTGGGGGCAAGAGGCCAGGGGCTCGTCCCTGTTGCTGAAGGCACCCCACAACCACAAGGCTGCATTCCGCGGGGCCGGCTTCTGTGCAACCCAGGCAGAGCTTCTCCAATGTAAGTCACCTGGGGGTCTTATAGACGCAGGTTCTGGTGCAGGGGTTCCAGGGGCCAGGTCCTGAGACCCTTTTCTTTCTTTTTTTTTTTTTTTTAAAGATTTTATTTATTTGACAGAGACACAGCGAGAGAGGGAACACAAGCAGGGGGAGTGGGAGAGGGAGAAGCAGGCTTCCTGCCGAGCAGGGAGCCCGATGCGGGGCTCGATCCCAGGACCCTGGGACCATGACCCGAGCCGAAGGCAGACGCTTCAGCGACTGAGCCACCCAGGCGCCCCCTGAGACCCATTTCTAAGAAGCATCTGGATGATGCGATGCTGCTGGCCTGGGGGCCACTCCGAGCAGCAGGGCCCCGCCCTCTATCCATCCATCCCTGCAGCAAACGGGGGACAGCGAAGAGGCCAAGAATGCAAGGTCAAGTCCACCAGGCTAGGTCAGTGGGGCCTTCTGCTCCCTCTCCTCTGTGCAATGTGCTTGGCGTGGCTGAGGGGACCCGCGGCTCCCAACCACCTGCAGCCAAAGGCCAGGGCTCAGAAGAGCTGCATGACTGGGCCCCTCTTCAGGGGGAGGAGGGGCTGCAGCCAGGCTTCCCGCCTGCCTCACCGAGGACCAGCTCATGGGCAGTGTGTTTGGGTCCCGGGGCTGGGAAACTGGCTGAAGCAGAGAGCATGGGCTAGGCCATGTGCCGAGGGTCCGCCCAGCTCAAAAGGCCCAGCCCCTCCCTGCTGGGGGATTCTGGAGCAGGGCCTCCCTCCAGCTGGTGGAATTTCCATTCCTGGAACAGGGGAAAGAAGGGAAAAGGCTTGGAAAGAAAAGAATTTCTCAAAAACAAGAGCGTGAGCCTGGCCTGGGCAAGGCAGCAGGATAGAGATTGATGGCCACCAGGCCGTCTGCAGAGCCCACTGGAGCCAGGTCCTGCCTGATGGGAGGGGCCCTTCTGTGTCTCCAGCCCACGAGTGTTTCTGGAAACCGGCAGACATGGGATTCACACAAGGAACTTGGGCCCCAAATGCCTGGTCACAGCCAAGCGCTCTCAGGGCTCAGAAGAGCAGGGACGGGTCCAGGGAGAGCAGCGAATGGAGCCTCCATCAGGGGTACCCTAGACAGAGGACCTGTGAGTGACAAGGAGCCCCCAGGATGCCTGGGTGGCTCAGCCGGTTAAGCATTTGCCTTTGGCTCAGGTCATGATCCCAGGGTCCTGGGATCAAGCCCCGCATGGGGCTCCCTGCTCTGCAGGAAGCCTGCTTCTCCCTCTCCCACTTCCCCTGCTTGTGCTCCCTCTCTCGCTGTGTCTCTGTCAAATAAATAATATCTTAAAAAAAAAATGCTGATCCTGACAGTTCTAGGAGATGCCTAGACACTGGCCAGTGCCGCCTGCCCTCTGGAACGGGCTGGTCTGCCTTGGGTCCCCCCACCACACTGCATGCCCTTCCCGGAGAGGCCTCTTCATTCTGCCCCCAAACCAGCCCAGCCTCCCCTCTGGAGCCAGGGCAGGGGACCAGCCAGGTTGGTTTGAATCTGGCTTCGCCACTTACCATCGTAAGGCTCACAGACTCACTTACATTCTACCCTATAGGGGTGCTGGGGGTGGGGTACCAAAGTCCTCTCACCTGTCCCCAACAAGTCAGTGAAAGAAGCCCCCCCCCAACCTCACGTACGAGTCCATTTATACCATTTAGAGTAAGCACATCCACAGAACACAGGTTAGTGGTGCCAGGGGCTAGGGGCGGGCTGACAACTCAGGGGTGCGTGGTTTCTTCTGGGGGGATGAAAATGTCCTAAAATGGACTGTGGTGATAGTTGGACAACTCTGTGAACATACTAACACCTGCTGGATCGGACACTGTAAATGGGAGGACTCTACAGTACATCATTACATGTCAAACCCACCAGAGGCGAACACCCCTCCTCACAGTTCACAGAAAGTCAAAAAGAAGGTTCAGCATGGCGATGCCTCCCAGCCAAGTCCCGGCACATGGGGCAGCAGGGCCGAGGAAACACTCCCTGAATTCCACCTGGCACTTTCTCTACAGCGGCCGAGCCGTGATGCACTCACTCCCGACAGGTGCACTGAGCGCCTCCCGGACACCGCTCTGGGCCTGGTGCTGGGACCTGTCTCGGAAGCTGATGGTCTAGCCGGCAAGATGCAGGGGAACAGGCAGATTATACAGTCCATGGGAAAGTGACAATGACGCGGCCCCACCACAAGGTCAAACAGAGTGAGGGGGTCTCAAGGGCCAGGTGCCAGGGAGGCTCCGCAGTGGGAAGAGTAGCCAAGTGGGCACCAAGGTACACGGTCTGCAGGTTGCCTGCCAACAGCAACAGCTGCTGCCCTCCCCAGCGGGTCAGGCAAGTGGCTGAGCCAGGCCCATTGGGCAGAGCAAGCCACCTCGGGAACGGCCTCCCTGGGAAGGAGCAGAAGGCAGAGTCGCAGGATCATCTCGGGCACCTCATCTGTGCAGTGGGAAGTTGATCTACTGGGTCTGTGTGGATACAAGGAGCAGGGAGAGCACGCAGGCCATCTCCAACCTCAGGCCTCAATACAGTGGCCCCCACAAGCCACCAGGTAACATGCCTTTGGGGTGGGCATCAATCTGGATGACCTTCCGGGCCCTTCTAACTCCGAGCAACGCTCTATTTATAAGCAGGAGCCTGATGCTGGGCCATTGGTTCTGCAGTAGCTGTGGAGACGGCTGGTCCCCTGGGCCAGGTCTCTACGGGGCAAGGAGCTGTCCAGAGTCTAGTCCACTGGTAAGAATAAGTCAGCAACAAAGAAGAGAGAGCTCTTCTCTCTTTGAGAAACACACTGAAATCCTCGGAGGCGATGATGTGATCTGAGATTTGCTTCCAGTGGCCCGCGGGGTGAGGTGGGCCGGGGTACACTTGCGTGAGCAAGACTGGCCCTGTGTTGCTAACTACAAGGAGTTCTTTCTTCTCTTTACATTCGCGTATAGTTCAACTTTTTCATAATTAAAAGGTAAAAAAAAATAAAAGCCAACAAGACCCATCAAGGCAGCTGCAGGGACCCCTTCTCCCTTCCCTGGGCACAAAGAACTTCAAGTCACACACAGTCAGTCGAGGGGCTGAGTCCGGGGTTGGAGAGGAGCTGCTCCCCTACCATGGGCTCTATTTCCCACCTGGCACCTTCC